ATGCGTCGCGCGCGGAGGGTCATCGAACGCGAGGGCAAGGGCCACGGAGAAGGCTGCTGCACCTTCCTGGCCACCTTTTCGGACAATGACCCCTGTGAAATTTTCAATGGCTTCGGGGAGGGCAGGGGTGTGAGGATGGGCGGGCCTCGGACCTGTGGCGGGGGGCGTGGCCGGCAAGGCAGTCCGCGCGGCCCTGACGGAACGCGTCTCAAGTGCCGTGAGTGGGGCTCAAAGGAGCGCCGCGCGCGCGACTGCCCCGTCGGCGCCAGCACGGGCGCGCCTTTTTCCTCGACGCCCCAGTCTCAGCAGCGCCCCCGCCGCCTGCGCCGGGATCCTCGCCGTTCGCGCGCCTGGCGCGCCGCGGGGCGCCCGGACCAGCCGCTCGACAAGTGGCGCCAGGTGCCTATGCGGTGTGGATGAAGACGGAGGCCCGCGGGATGCCCGAACCTGTGTTTCTTGGGCCCGACAGCGGTGGCCCCATGCAGAGCTCCGACCCCGGCCCTGGCCGTTGCGCGGCCAGCGCAAGCAGCGGCCCCCAGCGCTTCGTCCGACGTCTCCTGGCAGGCACTTGGCCAGAGCCATTGGTCGAGCTGGGAGGGGGCGCCCTCGCCCGCCAGAGCTCATGGGTTGCGTGCGCCAGGGTTTCGCTTGACCGATGGATAGGGCAACTGTTCAGCTAGTGCGCGTGGCATCAGCGCCTGCAGCGGCCGCGGCTCCAGCGGCGACCCGCGGGGTGCCCGAACCTGTGTTTCTGGGCCCAACAGCGGTGGCCCCGCGCAGGGCTCCGATCCCAGGGGCGGCAGCCAACCGACTCCAGCTGAAGCCGAACTCCAGCGACTGTGCCGCGAAGTGGGCCAGCTCATGGGCCGCGTGCACCGGGCTTCTGCTCGACCGACGGATGGGGGAGGTGTTTTGCTGGTGCGTGTGGCAGGAGTGGGGAACTCAGCGCTTGCAGCGCCCGTGGCTCCAGCGGCGTCGGCAGCGCCGCCAGCGCTGTCTCCGCGGGGCTGGACTGGAGGTGTCGGTGCTGTCCCGCTGGGGCCGCGACAGAGGCGCGACAGGGAAAGCGACGTCAGTGCCCCGACAACTCTGGCGCCGGCCCAGCCGATGCCAGACGACAGCGTGCCCGAGGAGACGCCGCCACAGCAGGGCGCCGTCCAGACTCCTCGGCCCTCGCCGGCGCCCAGGACACCGCGGCTGGACCTTGTGCGACTCCCTGGCGGTGCTTTCAGTTTTGTGTCCGTTGACGACGAAGCAGTGCCGTGCGACGCCCGCTTGGACCTGCGTTCTCCGCCGTGCCGACCGACGCTTCCGTGGTGCAACCCCGTTGGGTACAGGCCCGAGTCCACCGATTGACCCGCCATGCTACTTGGGGGGCGCTGACCTCCCATGCGGCTGACTCCGTGTCATTTTGGATGCCTACGCTTGGGCAAACCTCTCAGGGAAAACGCTTTCCGGGGTGGGCCTGGCCGAGAAAGCCGTGAAGGCGAGGCTCCAGCCCGCGGGGGGGAGGCTGGCGTTTCCATTTTACGTAGCAGGAGTGGGCATGGGCTCACAGGTTGCACATTGGGAGTTGCAGTGCCACATCGTGGTTGCCACCCGCGATGGCGTGGCCGCCCAGGACAACGTGCGTGCTCTTGCAGTGGAGGGCGACGGCTTCGATCTCCCTGCCCATCTCGGTCCGCAATCCATGCTGTTCAGCAGCGGTCTTGTGGAGACAGGCGTATCGCGTAAGAGTCTGGCGTTTCCCGTTCCTGGAGGCCACGAAATCAGCTGGGGCCCAGGCGCCGTGCACTTCGTTTAGAGTCGGCTCAACATGTCCACCCTTTCATGCCAGTCGACAACTTCGCGACCAAATCAAACCACCGACCGGAGGGCTACCGCCTATGCAGCTCACGCTATCAGCAGTGGGCAACAACCACCTGGACGACGGCGCCAACGACGCCCGCGAGTTTAAGAAGCTCGAAGCACAGCTTCTCAGCCCCAACGCACGAGCACCAGTGCGGGGCTCACCTCGCTCAGCAGGCCGCGACCTCTTCGCCTGCGCGGACGTCAGTTTCGCGACCTGCGGTCGCGATTTGGTGTCTACTGGCGTGGCCGCTCTCGCGCCGCTGGCACTTGCCCGCGGATTGCTCCGAGGTCAGGATTGTCCCTCGTGGGCGTCTACGTTGTGGGCAGAGCGGTGGGCGCCGACTACCGCGGCGAGATCAAGGTGATCATGAGCACCGCCAGCCCGCGGACGTCCGTGGTTGAGCGCGGCCAGAGGATCGCCCAACTCATCTGGGAGCGCATGATCATGGACTCCGAGGTTGGTCGTCAACGACGTTCCTCTCCCCCCCGCGGCTCCGGGGGCTTCCGTCGCGCGCGACCCCGTCCCGCAGGAGTCGGGCACTGCGACGCCAACAGGGTCTGAGGTTGAGTTTGTCACCGAAGACTCCGCGCAGCCTCTGCGCTAGGAGGGGGGCGGGCCAGCCCGCAAGGCTGGCCCAGCCGACCTGCCTCGGCAATGGTGGGCAGCAGGGCCGGGCCGTCCAGTCCGGGTCATGGAGGGGGGGGGGGGCGCGCTGGCACTACAGGAGTACGACTACGACGTCATACGTACCACATCCTACGTGAGCGCCATCTGGTCCTTGTCTGACCATGCATGTCCCAGCGCAAACTACGGTATGCTGCGGATCACGCGTGGCGCGAACAGGGGCGGAGTGAAATGCATTCTTGGCCTCCTTCCCAACCGGTGCGCCTGGCCAGGGACCTGCGTCGCCAGGGTCGTGATTTTCGGACTGCGCGGACCTCCGTGGCGATGCCCAGGCACGAAGCAGTTCGCTCACACTTACGTGTTATTCTGCAGCAGGCATCGAGCTCACCGCGAGCCTCTCCCAGGGGCCAGCCACAGCGGCATGCCCCCCGCGACGCCCACGGGGGCGCCCATTTCCAACCAGCTGCGCTTCTGCGACATCGCGTTAGAGGGGCGCCGTTTCGACTTGGACGACTACGCACAGGCATGCCTATCTGGGCTTGATGGGCCGCGACGCGTCGCGTCTCGTGCCCTGCTGCCGTTGTGCTTCCGCGACAAGTGGCGCGCCCAGGGTGCGCCCCCGGCGAGGCGCAGCGGCAGTTCCACCAGACGCGAACATTATTTCTTGTCTTACAGCAAACCAGAGACCAGAACACTCAGCAGCACATCCAGAAGAAGCGCCTTTTCTGGGGCGGGCATTCGCGCTGTTATTCCAGCTCCGGAGGCGACATTCGGGGCGGAAGTTCGGGCAGTTACGTAAGTGGGGCGAGAGATTTTCTTCTTGAGGCGCAAATGGCGATGATGAGCGGGGCAACAATCGGATCCGCCGTAAAAATTGGGCCGAACTTTTTGATCCGCTGGTCGAGAGCGAGCCTCTTCCGGTCGAAGCTAAGCGGGCCGCGCAAAGCTTGAATTAACAGAGGAAGGAAAACAGAAGGAGGGGCCTCACGTCAAGGCCATCAGAGGGCAATGCCCGGATCAGGCGGTGCCGAAAGCGAAGTGCATGCAAAGGAACGCCTTGATCAGGAACCCGGAGGCGAAGTACCGGGAGGCAAAAAGCTGGTGGTGGTGCCGTCAGCGGCGCATCATGTGCACCAGCCCCATGAACTGCGGGAGAGGACGCGCCGCGCATCCAGGTCGACGCCCGAGGGGATGAGGAGCACCGCTGGGCCAGGGTGCAACGTTGCGCCACCGAGCAGGATGCAGGAGAGGCCCAAGCCGTGGTAGTCCAAGGTAAGGTGCCACGTACAGGGAAAAAGAGCCGCAGTCTGAGGCGCGGCTTCCAGGCGAAGCCGATAAACGTGCCGCCCAGGACCGACAGGGTGCCGGTGCGCTGCAGGGGGGGCGCCTGCCCCGCAGTGGCAAGCGCGTTGGAATGTGCTGGGGCCGCGCACGTTGCGCTGCCGCACCGCGGTGCCAAGGGCCAGGCCGAAGCCGCGCCGCGCCTGGGGCCGCGGGGCCGCCGAGGCGGCGAGGTGCAAGCGCCGGGCGCCGGGCCGAAGCCGCGCTGTTCAGGGCGCTGTCGCCATGGGAGGGGGGGTGGCGAGCGGGGGGGGGAAGCGGGCGGGGAGGAGAAGGGCCGGCTCAGCGGGCCAGCGGTCGCCAGAGCAGCCCTGCACCAGCGTGGCCCGTGCTGAGCAGGGGGGCCCCGCGGAATCCTGGGGGACAAGTGGTCCCTTAATCAGGTGAGACGTTGACCAGGCCGAACTCGACGAGAACGCCGTAATGCCAGGGCCAGGGAGGCGGCCCGGGCGGTGCAGGTGGCGGGGGGCCCTGCGGAACCAGGGGGGGATTAACGGTCCCATATTCAGGTAGAGAAAGAGGGCGGGAGGAGGAGGGCAGGTAGCCGAAGGCGTTGACCAGGCCGTACTCGACGAGAACGTCGTGGTGCCAGAAATTGGACCGAACACGGATCGAGCAAATCAGAAATCGGATCCGCGCGGACGGAAACCGGATGCACCGAAATAAGCGCCGAAGCCACGCGTAGATCCGCGCGAACTTCATGGGATCCGACGGCGGTTCTCTCGCGCGCGTTTTTGCTCAAGACTTCAAACCGTCGTTCCGGGGCCCAAGAGGCGAAAACTCTTGTCCTGGGGATGGGCGCTTTGGCCTTCGGACTTGTCGGTTGCCACGTAGCCGACGCAACCCATCCCACAGGCAGTCCGTAGTTGGTTACCACATCTCGCAGGCAGTCCGTCGGGCCAGCAGACGCAGGGCCGAAGCGCACTTCTCGCGCGTCCGTTGGGACAGGAGACGCCTGTCCTTTGGCTCAAGGCCAAGGGGCTCCAGAGGCTCCACGTACTGTGCCGTCCTTGGAGCCCCTCCTGGGTTATCACTGGGCGAAGTCGGGCGCCATGGCGCGGGCCGGGGGGCGCGCGCCGCGGCCGCGGCGCCGCGGCCTCGCGCACGCCGCCGCCGCGGCGTTGGCGGCCGTCTGCTGCCTCGCCGCGCCCTCTGGCCGAGCGGGCCCCGGAGCTGGCGGCAGCAGCGGCCTGGGCTGGGCCACCTTCGCAGGCAGCAGGAGCGCCGGGCCGCTGCGGCACCGGCCGGGCCCCAGGGTGGCGGCTGCTGCGGCGAGCCTCGAGGTGGAGGGAGGTCTCGAGCCCATGTCCGATTACTTGCTGATCAAGCCATAGGACGCTGTCGATAAGACCAGGGGGGGCATCCTGCTGCCCACCTCGTCGTCCAACCAGCCCAGCGAGGGCGCCGTGCTGGCTGCGGGGCCAGGCAATGTGGAGCTCGAGGGCGAGGAGCACCTCCTCCTGCGCGACAGCGACGTCTTCCTCAGCTTGGCTGGCGAGGAGCCCCCCCTCGAGACCAAGGTCCCGCTGGGCAATGTTCTCGTGGAGCTGAAGGAGGAGGAGAGCCAGACGGAGGGCGGCCTGTTCCTCTCCAAGGGCGCCTCCAAGCCCGAGACGGAGGTGGGGGAGGTGGTCGCTGCCGCCGAGGGCGCGTGGAACGCCGCGGGGGAGCTCGTGCCCCTGGGCGTCGCGGTCGGCGATTCCGCCCGTTCCCGCTACGGCGACGAGGGCGGCTTCGAGGTGGTCTTCAAGCTGAGCGATGTTGGGCCCGGGCTCCTCGACGACAGCGGCGGCGTCGCCAACGCGAGGCCTGTGGACAAGATGAGTGGCACGTTCCTCGCGCCGTTCGCCCCCTCGGCCCCCTGCCCCTCCGCCCCACTCACCAGGCATGCCTCCGCGCGCGGCGCCGGGCACCCACCCGATCCCAGTAGTTCGATCCAGGTTTTTTGCAATTCTGTGCGGAGCGAGGCGCGCGATAACATTGTCGCTGCTCCCTGCTCTTTCTCGTGCCCACGGCCCCTCTCCACTTCCTCGTCCTCCCTCCTCGCTGGTTCTCCTCTCTCGACGCGGCGCGCGTCGTGCGAGGCTTTCGGCGCGCCCCCGAATTCGGTTGTCTCGGAGGCGGACGTGGTAACGCCACGGCGCCCTCGATGCACGAGCATGCAGTGCACACCCGTGCACCCAGCCCTGACATCTCCCGAGCGCGCTGCCCAGGTCCCCGCCCCCTCCCGCCCCTCACTGTCCAATGCTTCTGCCTGCTTGCGCCCCTGCCCGCTCCCGCGACCCCAGACGCCCGCTCGACCGCGAGTTCGACCTGCGACTGCCGCAGAAGGTGCCAGCACTGCAGCCCCGCAGCCGCCCTGCACGATCCAACAAGGAGCCGGACCAATCAACGCCCTATCCCCGCCCGGCGCCCTGTTGGACGCCCAACCCCAGCCCGACGCTACCCGACGCCCTGTCCCAGCACGACGCCCTACCCGACGTTCTACCCCAGCCAGGCGCCGTGCCTGACGCCCCATCCCAGCCCGACGCCCAACCCGACGCCCAAACCCGGCACGACGACACACCCGACGTCCCACCCCAGCACGACGCAGTACCCGACGCCCCATCCAAGCCCGACGCCCTACCCGACGCCCAACCCCAGCCCGACGCCATCCCCGACGCCGCACCCCAGCCCGACGCCATCCCCGACGCCCCACCCCAGCCCGACGCCGCACCCGACGCCCCACTCCAGCCCGACGCCCAACCACAGCAACTGCAGCTGGACGCCGCACCTCATGCCCCAGCCCAGCCCGACGCCGCACCTCCTGCCCAACCCCGGCCCGACGCCGCACCCGACTCTTCATCCAGTCTGGCTGGGCTCCCCGCCCGGGGACCGCGCCGGCAGCGCTGCAGCGCCACCCGCATGCGTTCCCGGCCCGAGCTGGGCGACTTCGTGGACTCAGGGATTCGAAACTCAAAGGGGGGTCACTCACTCGGCTCCCCCCGTTGCCCCAGGACCCGTAGGCCTCGAGCAGGCCTCGGGCTGCTCTGTCAGGGGCAATTCCACCCTGCCCCCTTCTCCTGCTGGCTTTTCCCCTCCTTTGCCTTCCTCCTCTTCCTCCTACCCGTTCTCTCTTCCCTTGCCCCCGTCTCGCCCGTCCCCGCGCCAGCGTGTCTGGATCCCTCTAGGGCTGCCCCGCCTGAGGAGCCCGCCTGCCCTCGCCTGCGCCGCGCGCCGTGCTGCCGCTGCACGCGGAGGAGCCCCCGCCTGGGCTGCCGCCGAACCCGCCGCGGACCCGAGCGACAATGTCCTCGACCAGCGTGGCATCTTCGGGCGTGGCTTCGAACGAGTCCTGCCTGGGCGGGCTCATCCACTGGCTCCAGACTGGCTTCTCCATGGACTGCCTCGGCAGTGCCGGCGCGCACGGTGCGCGACCTCGCGAGGAACACAGGGGCGGCCTTCGGCGCCCTGCAGTGGTCGATCGATATGTCGGTCGAGCCCAACGCCTCGGCTGCTTCTTCGTCTGGGGCGCCTTCGGGGAGTCGGGGGGACATCCAATTCCATGCGGGGGCAATCGATCCTAATCCTCCTTTCTCTGGGTCCTCGTGGGTCCTGGTCTCCCAGGGGGGCGCAGGCGGCTCCTGCGTGGCGATCGCTTGTGTCTTGCCGTTCTCTGCCTGCTGCCCTTTCTCTCCGCCCGCCCTGCTCCCGCTCCCTATCTGTCTTGGCCCTCCCAGCCCCCCATCGGGTCTGTCATCGCAACCCCGTGCGAGGGCACCAGGGACGCCGCGACTCCTGGGACATTGCAGTGGTCCCCCCTGGCAATTGCCCCCGGGGGGTCGACGGACATCGCGAGGACTTCGCGCTAGGGAGGGGCACCTATCCTACTGCAGACCCCCATGGGGTCACGGGGCCCGGACCCTACGAGCCGCCGCGCTCGTGACCTTTCCCCGAGATGCACCGCTGAGCGCATCTCTGGGAAATGCTGAAAACATTATTTATGCCCCAAACATGCTCTTCGGTTTTTTGAGGCAGATGCTCCAAACATGCTCTTCGGTTTCGGTTGAGTTTTGACGATGCTCCAAACATGCTCTTCGGTTTCGGTTGAATTTTGACGATGCTCCAAAAATGCTCTTCGGTTTCGGTTGAATTTCGATGATGCTCCAAAACATGCTCTTCGGTTTCGGTTGATTTTTGACGATGCTCCCCAAAAATGCTCTTCGGTTTCGGTTGAATTTTGACGATGCTCCAAAAATGCTCTTCGGTTTCGGTTACATGCTTTTCGGTTTCGGTTGAATTTTGACGATGCTCCAAAACATGCTCTTCGGTTTCGGTTGAATTTTGACGATGCTCCAAAAAATGCTCTTCGGTTTCGGTTGGATTTTGGTGATGCTCCAAAACATGCTCTTCGGTTTCGGTTGAATTTTGACGATGCTCCAAAACATGCTCTTCGGTTTCGGTTGAATTTTGACGATGCTCCAAAACATGCTCTTCGGTTTCGGTTGGATTTAGATGATGCTCCAAAACATGCTCTTCGGTTTCGGTTGAATTTTGACGATGCTCCAAACAATGCGCACGGTTCTGGGGCGCGTTGAAGATGCTTCCGGGATGCTCGGCCCTTTGCGAACACCTTCACAATGCTGCCAAAACCGCGCGAGCATTCTTTGAGCATCGCCAAAGTCCGACCAACACCGCGCGAGCAGTTTTGGAGCGTCATCACTCTGCAACCAGAACCACGCGGCAGCGTTTGACAGTAGACGACGTAAACGGACTAGTGATGCGGTTCGCCTGGACATATGCCAGGGGGGCAGGGGGCGCTCGGTCGCTTGATAAGAGGGCAAGGAGCCAGGATATCGGATATCGTCTGGGGGGTGGGCGGGGTGGGGTGGGGCGGGTGGGGTGGGGTGGGGGGCGGGGGCGGTGGTGTGCGTGGGGTGGTGTGGGCGTGGCGTGTATGTGTGTGTGTGTTGTGTGTGTGTGTGTGTGTGTGTTGTGTGTGTGTGTTTGCGTGTTTGTGTGTTTGTGTGTTTGTGTGTGTCTGTGTGTTTTGTGTTTGTGTGTGTGTGTGTGTGTGGTGTTGTGTGTGTGTGGTGTGTGTGTGTGTGTTTGTGTTTGTTTGTGTGTGTGTGTGTGTGTGTGGGTTGTGTGTGTGTGTGTGTGTTGTGGTGTGTTGTGTGTGTGTGTGTGTGTGTGGCTGGGTGGGTGGGTGGTGTGGGGGGGTGGGGTGGGGTGGGGGGGGGGGGGGGGGGGCGGGAGAACCGCGCTCGGGCCGCGCTCGGAGGACGCTCGGACCGCGCTCGGGCCACGCTCGGACCACGCTCGGGCCATGAGGTATCGGCCCACAGGGTCTCAGCGTTTCAGCCCACAAGGTACAAGGTCTCGACCCATAGAGTCGTTGCCGATGGGTCTTCACGATTTTGGGGTCTCAGCCCGTAGGCCATAGGGTCTCGGCCCATGGGGTTTGACCCCTGGTGTCTCCGCCCATGGGGTCTCGGCCCATGGGCCATGGGGGCCACGACTCGGCCAATGTGGTTCGGGATTCGAGACCAGGGTTAAGGCTTAAGGTTTACAGGTTAAGGGCTAATGGGGTTAAGGATTAAAGGGTTAACGGTTAAGGCTGATGGCTTAGGGGCTTAGGGGCTTAGGGTCTCGGACCATGGCATGTCGCCAGGCGCCAGGCGCCAGGCCAAGCAGCCAAGCAGTCAAGGCGACCTGTGTATCTTATGTCTTATTTGCTCCGCGGGGGAAGGAAAGGATGGGTGGTGGGAGGGCTGGCCCCGAAACCGGGCGGCGCCTCCCCCCTCGCGGAGCACTCCATTTCGACGATGCCCCAAACATGCTCGCGCGGTTTTGGTAGCATTTTGATTCTCTAGGCTCTAGGGCGGGCAGAAGGGAATGATGCGAGGAGGATGACGAGTCTGGGTTGTGGGCTTGGGGCTGGGCCAGTGGTGTGCTTCCTAGGCTCCGATGGCAGGCGCATCTGGCTTATGGGGTTAGTGGTTAATGGTTAGTCGGTTAGTCCGCTCAGGAGCATCCTGGAAAAGGATACGGGATCTAGGGTCCAGGGTCCAGGGTCTGGGGTCTAGGGTCCTAAGCCCAGGGTCTCATGTCTAGAGGTCTAGAGTCTAGAGTCTGGAGTGTAAAGTCTGGGGTCTAGGGTCTAAGGTCTAGGGTCTAACGGGGCTTCAGGGCGGAGCGGGGGTCCGGGAGGCGGGGCATTTTTTGAGAATCTTTGAGGGGCATCTTTATGTGCATTTTTGGCGCGTCCCGAGAAGCGAGAAGGGCCGGGGCGGGGGCGGGGGGGGGCGGAGCATTTTTGGAGCATTTTTATGACTTTAGGAGCATCTGTAAGAACATTGAGAAACAAACCGAGGAGGGCCAGGAGGTGGGAGGTGGGGCATTTTTGGAGCTTTTTGGAGCATCTTCAGGAGCATTGTTAGGAGCATTTTTGGAGCATCCCGAGGAGGACCAGGACCTTACCCGGGAGGTGGTGCATTTTTGGAGTTTGGAGCATCTTTTGGGAGCATTTTTAAGTGCATTTTAGGAGCATCCCGAGAGGGGCCAGGACCTTACCCGGGGGGCCAGGACCTTACCCGGGAGGCGGAGCATTTTTGGAGCATCATCAGGAGCATTTTTAGGAGCATTTTTGGAGCATCCCGAGGAGGGCCAGGACCTTGCCCGGGAGCCGCGGAGCATATTTTGAGCATCCCGAGGAGGACCAGGACCTTACCCGGGAGGCGGAGCATTTTTGGAGCATTTTTGGAGCATCTTTAGGACCCCAGATTTTTGCAAAGCCCCCGCGCCCCAGGGGGGCGCAGGCCTCAG